TCTCTCTCTCTCTCTCTCTCTCTCTCTCTCTCTCTCTCTCTCTCTCTCTCTCTCTCTCTCTCTCTCTCAATCTTCCTCTTCGTCTTGTTCCTCTTGATGCAGGTGCGCAACGACTTCTTCCACCGAAGGTCCGCTATGGCGGACTATCTCCTCCAACAGTCACCTCAGCTATGGCGCCTTAGCCCGCACACGACGGCACGTGGAACAACGGGTACCTGCTCTGATACCAGTGCAATCAGACTCGGCTTAATCACACTTCGTCATGCATGCAAACAACGATACAACAAACTGGCGACATGCGCCCACACAGTACTCAAAGATATCGTGACCAGATAAGAGTTCTCGTCCAACTGGCTATGGCGACTGCGCGCCCACACAACTCACTGTTCGCACTCTGGATCACCCTGGATGTCCCACACACAACACTCAGTATCCATACGCAACACACACACACACACTATGCTACAGCTATGGCAGCGCTAGCTGCCACTACCCTATCGCTACACTACGCTTCTCTGCCCACTTCGTCTTTGGGCACACTGCAGACCTCCTCGCACAAGCTGTTGAGGCAGCACTTCCGCATGGCATCCATAGGAATGAATGAATGGCTGGACGCAGCCTCTTGATTTATACTTCTGCACTGCATTGGTTTGCCCTGTGTCCCCTTGGCCCTTGGTGCACACAGTCCCAGACGGTACTTGCTGGACAGGACCGGAGTGCCTAACTGGGACTGTTGACTCAGCGGGGTGGCCTACCACCACTTGACCACTTGCCTCTGTTCAACGTAGGCTCACTCCGAAAGGCCACTTCTAGAACCCTCTGAATTGGCCTTTCGGTACTGTAGCAACTACGACTTTGCCCCTTCAGGTAAGTAGCAGCTACGACCTTGACCCTTCAGGCATCCTACAACTACGACTTCGAACTGTCTAGACTCCTACCCTACAGGTCTACAGTTCGATTCTCTTCTACCCTGTGACCTACGAAAACCTACCTACCACTGGCGGTCCTACAGGTCGCAAGTTCAAGTCTACGGGTTGACACTAGTACTGTACACAGGTAAGATGGGGAACTAGGGATCGAGCCCTGGGATCTGCATTCGCTACTGCGAACTGGTGAATACCGTTTCAAGTGTGCCTCTAAGCCTCACGGCCATGGGAAGACATGTTTATATACATATATGTATTGTTATATACAGGGTTGCCAGGCCGAACGTACGGAGGCCCCTAAGCTGACCCCTGAATGTTCGGGCGTTCGGGTCCACAAAAAAACTATTTTGGAACCTAAATATTAATAGTTTTTTCTGAATTGTTTTTAGTGCATGTTTTGTGATGCAAGGTATCTCCCCCTAAATTTTGAAGCCATTCTGTTCAGCCAAAAAAAAAGAAAAATCGGCAAACATGGTGGTGTCAAAACTTGCTTGCCCACTCACTAATTTGTTTTTTTTCTCTTTTTACTTTTTGTTTTTCCTTTATTTCGGGGCATGGAAAAAAATATTATTTTCTCAAACTTTATTTGTAGATTCTCTATTATGTAAGTTAAACATACAAAAATTTTCATGGCATTTGTCACAGCCATAATCAAATGAAAAATCGCCGAAGATGGCGGTGTCAAAAACGTGCTCCCCCACTCAATAATTTCATTCTCGTTTTATTTTTTCTAATTTTCATTATTATTATTTATTTTTAGTATTTGATTTTTATTTCAAATTTGGTAAATAATTTGGAAGTAACGTTGAGGCAAATGTTGTTCAGTTTATACTTCTGTATAACATATATATTTTTCAGAGTTTTAGGAATTAGTTTTTTTTTTTTTTTTTTTTTTTTT